TATTCTAATCGGTTTATTAAATACACAACAAAAACTTACTGTTTTAATTTGATTTGGTGAAGTTGCTTTTTTAAATTTACACTATATTCTAAAAAAGTATATTTAAATAAATTATTATGATTTAATATTAGAACTCATACGAACCATTGTTAACGTGAATTTCTTTATTAATATGTTTTATTTCGTTGCAGCTTGAATGGATAAACTCCAAATATAAACAATATTTTAAATTTAATTTAGTTTTCTCATCTATATTTATACATTGGTTTTTATTAAATTTATTATTGCTCGATATTGTACTTGAAAAATCTTCATTATTATTTATATTCATTTTTGGCAAAGTTAATTTTGCTGAATAACTGTTAACATAATTATAAATTTAAATGAAACCATAAAATACTGGATCCAAATATTTGTTAACGATCGTGTTAGTCGTATGTCGGAACACGTTATAACTCAAACATAAAACTTTGGTTTGGGATACAAACTATAAATACTATCGAACTCAAGAACAATCAAGTTCATATAATTCACCCTGTTCAACAATTCTACTTATTTTAATTAAAAAACAGAAATTGTCATAATTAGGTTTATAATTTATTATACCAACTAATTTATTAAAATAAAATATAAAACTATCAAATTTATCATTGTCAAGTCAATTCATACCTCAATTAATTCAAGATCCAATAGTTACAATTATCAAAAATAGAATTGTTAAATGTTTAGCTCTAAAATTAAAATGATTATACATAATATTTTATCAACCTGGAACCACTGGATGGTGAAAATTCGCCATCTTTGTTTTCATTCATACTACATGATTTACTTTTACCAATATTAGTTGGCTTAATAATATGTTTTGAAGAACTAAAACAAATTAATTACTATACATTTAAGTTTTTGATTTGATTAGTCGTTTTATAATACATGGAAACGCATTGTGTTTTTTGATGTTTAATTGTAGAAGTAGCATTTGGGGGACCAAACTTAATTTTGGTATCTGGTTTGTATTTTAAAACCTTCTGCCTCGGTTTTATCAAAGAAATAACATTCTCTGCATTTTGCAAATCACAGGATTTATGCACTGGATCGATGTTGTCTAATAACAGAAATTAATAATTATTTCTCGGTTTTAAGTATAATAAACCTAATTAAAATAAATATCCCAACTTTTATTTTGTAAATTTGATTGGAAACCTCTATTGATCTAAAACCAACGATAATTTTTTAATAAATATTAAGTATTTAATATACTTTGATATACTATGTTGATTGATATAATTAATTGTTATTAAAATACTTATTGAAAAGCTTACGGTTAAACGATTCTTTGTAATATGAGACGTTGGATTTGCTTTAATGTAGCGTTCGACTTTAGCCTGTTTTGTAAAATAAATATAAAATATTATAGTATTGAATGTTGTAGATAAAGAATTAAGTGAATATTTTAAAACATTAAAATAAATCTTTCTATATATTAAAATATATTTTAACTATTTCCTATGTTTTTTGTAGTTTAAACAAGAGCCAACGGAAGCATAGAGTTGAAAGAGCCCAGGACCAAGGTTTATGTAATAAAATAACATATTTTTTGAATTTTATCATTTCAAAGTTTAAACAGCGTATGAGGATTTTGTATTCGTTTATTTCTAGCAAAGTAATATTCATTTTTTCCCAGGAACTCGTTGATAATGAGGACAACGACGATTGTACTTATTATAGCATATCTTAAGGCGGGTTCCCATGACGTGTGCCTCGCCGAATACGATTTTACAAAATCCACAATAGTTACTAATCCTATGCGAATGTTTATTGAGGAAAGTGACAAAAGAGCTAAAAAGAAAGATGTAAAGAATACAGAATTTTCTTTTCTTACATGTGTGCATTTTGTTTACACGTTTAACATTGATATATATTTTTTAGGTTTTTTAAATTTGAAATATTTGATTATAACTGAATTAAATTTTTTTAAAAAAAAAAAAAAAGAATGGTCTAACGATGAAGTTCTAGAATTTTTGGAATTATATAAAACCCAACTACAAATTTTGTTTTTTAACTAATTTTTTTTTCAAATATTCACTGCACATTACAAAATACGCAGCTGCGCAAATAGCAATTTGCATCTGATCTGAAGCACTAGTTTTTTTAAACTGAAAATTACTACTTAATTTTGATGGAGCTCTGGACGGTTCGGGTAAGCTTGTGGCTCGTCAAGTCGCGCGCCGTGGAAATGATGTAGACATTGTAGGCTCATGATATGCCGAGCATAGTAATAGGCTTAGTACAACAAGCACGCTGCTCGAAACTCGCCGAGCCACGTGCCGTGGGAACCCGTCGTCAGATACTGCATTATCGGTACAGGTTTATTGCGTATAGGTACATTCAATTTAATCACTCATTAGTTGGACAAAGAGTGACGCGTTAGTGCGTTACCGTATTATTATTGTTAATAATATTACAACGATTATTTGAAATGTAAATTCTAAAATTTATCCGTTTATAATTTTATTGAATTAGTCGATAGTTGTCCGCTAAGTTTATGAACGCAAAAATAATTTAAAGTGAGGACAATTTTGTGTATACGTAATTTAATTAAGTATATTTTATTATGTAGAGGTTATTTTTTTCTGGATAGGAGTAGCAAATTTAATTTTGCAAAGGGGTGGATAATTGTTAAACTCTCCCCCGATTACAATAGATGTAACAATTGATGTTATTAAATACTTTTTATTTGGCTTTATTATAATACTATATTATTATATATTAATATATGTAGTTGTAGAGTTATATTTTGAAACACTGATTTTCATATATTGTGCCATATTGATTAATGTCTAATGACTAGTATATTTATAATGTGCCTAAGCATTATGTATTATGACGGATTATCTATAATGCTGGTAACATAATATATATATATAATTATTTAAAAGTGTATCAAGAACGGGACATCCGAATTGCATGCCAAAAAAATAAACATAAAATGGAATTTCCGTGTACCTCCAAGTTAATTTATCATTAATATGTGTACAACTTTATTTTTTATTTTTTTATTTTTATAATAATTATACAATCTATACTTCTTAGCATAATAAGTATAAGTGAAAAGAGACAGACGACATGGTATGCGTGATTAAGAAGTCACCCACTAGTGACTCTTTACGTGAGGAGAAAAACTATTTGATGTGTACAACTTAAATTTTATTTTTGACTATTCTATTTTTTTAAAAAAACGGATGAATAGGAACCGATTAGTTTCTAGATTGAAATATTTTTATATCTGAGTAAATATTTTACCAAATTGGAGAATGCGACACTATGAATATTAAAAATTAAATAAAACCCATTGTAGTTTAGGGTAATCAAAGTCAATATATTTTATATTTTTACGTGGCATTTCAAATAAATAATAATATTATAAAATTTGGTGTAGTTTTTTGACAATATACAGCAATAAAAATAATAAAGATGATAGTTCAATAGTTTATAATAATAAAATAAAATGTAAATATTGATTTATGGAAATGTTTACTCGGATATAAAAATATTTCAATTTAGAAACTAATCAGTTGTAACAACCATATCATAAATAGTTTAAGTCAAAATAAAATTTAAGTTGTACACATAAGTGCATGATAAATAAATTTGTGGGTACACGGCATATCCCTCTAAGAGATGGAATGCAATTCGGAAATTTTTCAAAAAAAACTACGAAATAAATTTGAAAAATTACATTTAGAACCCTATAATACTGGAACAGGAATCAGAATCTTTTAATGAAATTATTGAGAACAGTAACCATAAAAACCAAAAGGTCCCAGTTACTGGTTTTCAATATAGAATATGTTCTTCCGTAAAAAATTATTGACAAATATATGAAAAGAATTAGAATGAAAATTGTTTGTAGTATTATGTACATATTTAAATATATAGGTACAATTAAATTGTCTTAATAGAAAATAATATACTTACCAACAAATCATTGGATTCAAATGTTGGTTCAATATACTTCTGAGAGCTTTCATTGAAACAATACGAATTACCATTTTGTATATCCTATTAAATAATTATATCAATAAAATGCTTAAAAAAAAATTAACTTTAATATCAATGAAAGTAAGTAATCTTAAATGTTACTGTCAATGTCTATCTCTTTAAAAAAAGAGCACGTAAAAAATACGAAGTATACCCTTAAATTTTCAAAATAATGTTGAGAGTATACAGCGTAGGTATACTCGTATGTAGTGTAGATATCCCATGGGAACATGATCTTTAGAATCAACTCACCAAGATTCCAGTATCTTGATTATTTCCTTTCGAAGAAATTTTCTTCAATTTATCAAGGTACTTTCGTTTTTTTTGTTCTTGCTCCATGAAATTAGATGAAATAATAACTTGGGCAATTTATTTAAAATTACTTCGATGCATAAAACATTTGAAAAGTTGTTATAGGTAGAGTGTAAAAAATAAATGATTGAAAAACTATTTTATTATTTTTTATAAATATTTAGTGAACAATAAAATTCTTATTTTACTAACCCATAACTCATTTTAGTAAATTTTATATAGTTAATAAATTGACTTTTTTTCTTCGCTAAATTTCAGTGACAAAGCCAAGTGCAAACGCAAATCGACCTAGAATTCGATACAAAACACTCATACCATGGTTAATAAATAGGTACCAAAGTCCAAAGAATACCAAGAAATTTACATAGTTAAATGACCGTCTTATTAAGTTATATATTGTATTAATTATAGATTTATAACTGTAAAAAAAATCGTCTTTCTTTTTATCTTTCATTTATATTAAAAAAATTGTTGATTTTCTTGTTTTTCTTCTAGCAACTCAAATAGTCGGATCAGCGTATCCTTATTCGATCTATTTCATTTTTCTCTAATGGCACAGTTCTACTGTCCAACCAAGTGGGTAGAATATCACAGAATAGATTATTTAATAATAGTAATATTCTGTGTAGTTACGATCACGGTCTTGTATGAATCTTCTAATACAATGGCCACGGTTATCATATGGCTTATCTATAGTCGTGCTTCGTTACCGCACTTTTATAGTTATCAACAATAAATAATAAAATATTAACTCTATAATATTTTCTATTCAAAATCATGACTAAATAGATTTTATGTTGTGTCTTAAATTGTGGTAGCTTATGAATTTAAATACTTTAAATTACTAATCTTTGTTCCGATTTGTTATTTAAGATGAATTCCGTCGTTGAATTATTTAATGATGAAAATAAAAAGTTTGTTAAAGTATGTGCACCTATGGTCCGTTATAGCAAGTAAGCTGCTATCTATTTATTTGGATATTATTCTTAAGTAATCTATTGTCCATTGTAAGTAATAGTATCATGTTAATATAAATGCAATATTTTTATATTTTAGACTTCAATTCCGAAAATTAATTCGTTTATATGATTGTGATTTATGTTTTACACCTATGATAATGGCCGACTCTTATGTTAGATCAGCTCAAGCTAGAGCACATGAATTTCAAAGTGACACAGGTTTATCTATTTATATTTGATATGTATAATTTTATTTAATTAAAATATTTTCTTGTCATCTAGATGATCGACCACTTATTGTTCAATTTGGTGCCAATAATTCATCTGATTTTATAAACGCTTCTAATTTGATTATTCCGTAAGCTATTTATATGCATGAATTTATTTTTTTTAATTAAATAACTATTATTATTTTATTTAGATATTGTGATGGAATTGATCTGAATTGTGGCTGTCCACAAAGATGGGCTTTAAATGATGGATATGGTGCACAATTACTGAAAAATCCTGAAATTATCAAAGACTGTGTACGCCAATTTCGCAACCGCTTTCCTAGCAATAAAACAATATCAGTTAAACTAAGATTACTTGTTGATAATAGGCAGGTATTTAATCCATTTAATTCACCTATGTTTTAATAATGAAAATATGAATTTGTTCGTGTTAAAAATTATCTTTTAATTTGTATTATTGTAATTATATATTTAACAAAAACATTTTTTAATATTTGTTTTTAGTGACATTGGTTAATTTTAATCTATTATAGTATAGATAAAATAAACCATTTATTAGTTATATATCAATTAATGCTTATTCCTATTGATCTTTACACTTTTTTTGGATCTAATAAAAGTTTTCCCTCTTTTATTATTATGAAATCTAGATTTATAATTCATTTTATCTGTAATAAAAGTAATGATTGTAAAATTAACTACAACAAATTTCAAAATAATTTTCCCTTAGGCTTAAAAAAATTAACTTTTAAATCTTTATTGCCAAGCACAAAAGATTTCTATGTTGATTGATATAACAAATTTTGACCACCAGTAAATCTTATATAGTCTTCTCCTCAAATAATTTTGTGTCTGATATAAATGGCATTTAGTAAGTACTTTATAATTCATAAGTCTACCTACTTAGTGATTATTGTATGTGTTTAATTTATAAAGTTACTACAATTCCTGCCCATCTTGGTTCTAATATGAATAGCTATCTATTCATTTGTAATTTCTAAGTTTTCCCCTTGTAAAAAAAAAAAAATTTGCACAGTTAGTCACATAAATTATAAAATAAAACTTGAGCTGCCATTGTAACCACATAACTCTTATTACCCTAGTCCAAATTTCAAACTCAAATAAATTATATCTTATAATAGCTAAAGCACATGACTAAGTCAAATACTATTGACTACATATATATTTTGAATAACAAATTTCAGAAATTTTAGAAGTTTTATTATTCTTTATTATAGAAAAAGTGTAGATCTTTGTCAACAAATTGAAGCTACTGGAATATCTTTTATTACGGTTCATGGACGAACTGCTATTCAAAAAAATCAACCTATTGATCAAGAATGCATAAAACTTATTAATGAATCTGTTGGTGTTCCTGTGATATTGAATGGTGATGTTAAGAATTTATCAGATGCAATTAGTATGCATGAATATACTGGATGTAAAGGTATTACTACTATCAGTGGCGCACGCAGGGGGGGTTGAGGGTTTGTAACCCCCCCCCCCAAAATTTTCTCCGAGGTCTGTGTTAAAATTTACAAATTTTACAAGTTTGAAATATGAATAACTAATATTGAATACCTAGTATCATTGATTATAGAATAGTTTATTCTATTATCAATGTTATTATCTATAATGCAACTTTCAGAAATGTATATGATATGAAATATGAAAATAATTTGGGTGATATAAGTGAATATTTGAGAAATGCTGAATTATAATAATGGCAAAATAGTTTTAAGCACCAGTCAGAAATTATTCAAACAAAAAAAACTGTTACAGATCTGTACTTTCAGTGTTATCCTCAAATATACTCAATAATTTCAAAATTGCTGCAAATATTTATTACTTTACCAGTAACCACAGACACTGAAAAACAATTGTTTTCAACACTACGACGTATTAAGACTTACTTAAGAAATACAATAGGACAAAATAGCCTTAATAGTCCAGCTTTATTAAATATTCATAGAGATATAGAAGTTGATCTGAATTATATGATTAATGAAATGAGTAAATCATCAAATAAACAATCTTTGTTAAATTTATAAATTATTAATTTTTTAATTAAATATATTGTTTAGTATTAGATTTATAATTACAGTGGAAAAAAATAATTTAAAAGTATATTAAGTCATATTATAATTTACTTTTAAACTAATAGTGTATGTATAAAATTTAAGTCAAAGTTACATGACAAAAATTATTTAAGTCAAAATATATAAAGGATTTGCATAATTTTGTTAATTGCAAAATGTGTTATATTTTTACCTTGACCTTCCCCCCCCCCCCCCGAAAAAAATCCTGTGTGCGCCACTGACTACTATATATAAATATATTTATATATTTTACAATTTTAATGTTGTTATTTATTTTTAATTTTAGGAATAATGAGTGCTAGAGGTATACTACACAACCCTGGCTTATTTGCTGGCCATAAAATTACACCAATTTCAGCTGTTATAAATTGGTTGAATATTTATCATACTAATTTCTTATGGTTTCATCATCATTTAGTATTTATGTGTGACCGTTTACTTTCAAAAAATGCAAAAAATACTTTCAATCAATTGCGTACCGCATCAGATGTAATTTCTTTTTTGGAAAGTCAATTTCATATACCAAATGTTTTATCTAGCAATAGGAAATTGGGAAAAGAACTCAGTGGAATTAGTGGTACTTATTATCAAAATGTTGTTAAACAAAAAAACGTGTCATCTCAATCAGAAGATTTTATGGAAAGCTCATTTAATTTATTTGAATAATTCAATGTTTGTTTTATAATATAATATTAATACATTTTATTAATTTTAATGATCCATAAGAACAAGATCTAACATATTTAATAAGAACCAACAACTATAATATGCAAAAAAACATATTGACTGACATTTTTTTAAATTAAATAATCAATATAAGGATATTTATTAGTTAATTTTAAATAAAGATTTTATCTTTAATCCTTTAAAATATTTAAATTTTATTAGTTGAAATGTTTATACATTTTTAAATTTTATTCCAAAAACTAAGGGTGGTTGGGTATGTATTGAATTTACAAAAATAATGCATTTTTCCTTTTTTCTATGTTAATTTATGTAATGAATTTCATTATTTATGCAATAACTTTTTGGATAAGAAATTTAATACTTTAAGTAATATTACAAGTTAATTATTATTTTTTTTTAAATAATATGTAAAAAAAAGAAGAATCTTAAAAGTTCTGTTAAGCTAGAACAGTTATAGGGTTGCCAACCGTCCTACATTGGGTAGGACTGTCCTACGTTCAATAAATGCTATAAACTATTTGTAGAACAATTCTACATTTTACAAAAATTCCTATTTATATTTCAATATTATTATTCTTTTAATTTTATCAATTTATTATTTAATTAAGGTGATAAACATCTAAGTTTTATATTTAATAAGCTAATTTAATAAAAGTGATATAAATAAAATGTATAAGATGTTTTTCTTAATTATTATAATAATATTATATACTGTTAGTTGTAATAATGCCACTACTATGCAGTGCCATAGCCATGGGGAGAATGGTCCATGCCCCTCCCCACCAAAAGCTGTATTGTTTATACATATAACCAGTATAAATAACTATAGTGGTGGTCTTTTAATTTTTTACTTTGCATCCTCCTACCACCTCCAAAATTCTGGGTTCGCTGCTGAAAAATGGAATAAATTGGGTATGAAAAAAATTTTCCTACATTAAATAATTTGAAAGTTGGCAACCCTAAACAGCTAGGTTGTTTGCATTTATATATTATAATTTTATACGTATATCCATTACTTCCACACACCTTAAAAAATTTAACACCATATATATGGGTTTTATTTAGAATATATTGTCGAAATATGAGTCTGCCCCGAAAAGGAATCATTGATTTGTCTACTGATATGATTTCACCAGATTGATCCATAAATTTAAATAAATTATTTGATAAATTTAATAATTTTCTTATACAATACAATCGGTCAGTTTTATGAGCAAAATTTTTTTTAAAAATGCCAAAATCTAAGAATAAGTTCAAATTTATTTCCACTCAGAGTTTTTGATGTGACATTGTTTTGGTAATGTTCAGCTTTATTCCAATAGTCAGCTAATGATGGTATTTTTACAAGTCCCATCGATAACAGAAGATCCATACATTTTTCCATATCATTCTTAGTTCAAGGCGAAAACCTACTGCCCCTTGAAATTCGCTGTGAGCTTAAAACTAGTGCACTTTTATTTGTTTCAATAAACATAAGTAGTATTATTTCATCAGTAAGAAACAATATGAAATAATCTATAGGAACACTATCTTGAATAACTATCTAAAATAACTAAGGGTCCAGGGTTTCCTAAACAATTTAAATGCTTTTGATTATTATCTGAAACTGCATTCCAGACGGATTGATTATTACAAGATACAGCTGTTGGAATATTTTGATCCTTATCTCCTGATGAATCTTAAATCACTATCATAGGAACGCACAGACCTCTTTTTTAGGGTATGCAGAAGGTTGTCTCAATCGCTACCCCCCCCCCCCCCCCACAATGGAAGTTATCTAACTTTTATAATATTAAAATAAGTATTGTATATTTAATATTGTATTTTAGTGACCAATGCCATTAAGCGTCCACCCGGACTTTTGGTAAATTAAATTAAAGAAGACGCATAATCTTACCTTAAATAAGAAGAGGGACTCCGTCCTACCCACATTAACCACTGACTACTTCCTTTAAAATTTAAATAAAAATGAATTTATTACTTATATTTAAATATTTTTTTTACAATATTTAAGTATGATATTATAAGTAAGAATGATTGAAATAAAAAAATAATAAAAAATGTAAATAAAATTAAAAATTACCTAGTTAATGATTAATATTCGTAGATTAATTTATATATAAACAAACATATAGTTCATAGATAGAAATAAGTAAATATATATATTTATATATTAATATAGTTAGAAATGTTAATTACTCAAAATAACATTTACATTAGGTAATTCAGTTTTAGAAGAGTTAACACATATACAATGAAATAAAGATAAACATTTTTAATAATATCTTATATCTTTATATATTTTAGATAATAATAAATAATATTAACTAAAATATTTAGGTATATTTATACATATACATCAGTGGCATATACAAAAAATATTTTCGGGAGGGGTTACTATGGACAGAGTTAAATTACCACTGCTATCTAACAATTATTAATAAGACACAGTATGTACTTACCTACATTTAATTTACAGAATGTGCCAAAACGATTTAACGTTGGACACAAATTTTAAATAAGCATAAATCACCATTAAAATATAACATACATTTAAAATAATTTTTAAGTTTTTTAAAACATTTCGGGGAGTGGGGGTAGCCCATTAAACCCCCTTAAATAACGCCACTGATGTACATATTATATATTTATATATATATATGTCTAATAAGAACTCATTTTAAATAGTCTGTCATATTAAAATAAATTATTTTTTTGTAAATCAACCAATTCTTATTGATGTATTCCTTTCTTTATTTTTTCATATTCAGTAACGATTTTATTGACTTTGTTTATAGCTGAAGATGAATTTTTAATTCAAAATCGGTCATACTTTACAAATATAATAATTTTCTAGGCTAAATATTTATTTATTTATTTATTTATTTATTTATATATGTTATCGGCAAAAATGCCGTAACTGGAAAACAATTTTGGGGGGGGGGGGGGTTAACATTATTATTTAATACAATTAATAATTAATAAATTATATTCACCGCTAAAATGTTTCAACTTTTGAAAATTTCGGGGGGGATCCGGACCCCTAGACCCCCCAATTACGGCCTTGATCGGAAATGTGGAAAATCCGGTATTTTGCGAAATGCCTGTGCATTTTATAAAAGGGCGGTTTTCGTTTGTGCGAAGGTAATAATTTTGACCAAAAAATATATGTACAAAATGCCAAAAACCACTCGGCAATATACATAATATGAGCTTTGCCTGGGCATTAAGTATAATGCCAAACGTGGAGTAGGCTATATGATGAAAATAAACAAAATTGGGCATCACCTATTACCAACGATTACTTACCGTTTATCATAAATGAGCTTGCACAATTTAACGCAATAAAGATTAAGATTCTTTTACTATATAATAATAAATCTGAGGTACAATATTGAACGTACTAATTATTTTATTATAATATCGTCATTTTTCTCGTTATGGTGTTGCAACTATGGATACGATTTATATGAATTCAAATTTTTATAACAAACTACAAATTTTTTTTAAAAATTTGGCCACTAATACTAGTTTTTTATCTAATGAACAGTATTATGAGTTGATAAAAATTCATTCCACAAGAATTGACCAAGGATTTTTAAAATGTGTCAAAATAAAAAGTGTACTTGCCTTAAAAATAAAATGTTGTGTACTTCAAATTGTTACTTTTCTACAACATGTTATAATAAGTATGTAAATAGTAGTTTATGTAAAATATTTATATAATAGTAATATTATAATAATAGATAAAAATTAAATTTTGTCTGTAATATGAGTATTAATGTAAATTAATTATATGAATCTTAATTTAATATAACATACAATAAAATGTTTTGTACTTTGGCAAAAAAATAAATTGGCATTTTGCATAATTTTATAAAATACCTAAATTATCCATATATAACATATATATATATAAACTATTTATTTGTTTATATTATTTAAATGCTATATATGATGGGCACATATCAATTCTTATGGAGTTATTAGACTAAAAATAGATACTAAAAAAAATATATAAGTACTAACTTTTCAAGATTTAAATTATTACTGGTAGGAATTTAATAACAAAATTTAGTAATTTAGTAACAAGTTATATATTTGTGTATTTTATGTATTTTCATGGTTTTTCGTGTGTCTGTAGTTTTGTTTGGTAAGATATTTTATTAAGTATACTTCAAATTTTTTATACTATTAATAATGATAATAATAATAAAATAGAATTATATTTTATTTGTTTTTAATTCTTAATGTATACTTGAATATTGGAACAAAAGTGTACTTGTTTTCATAATAATGGTCATAGTTGAAAATCCGATCCAAATAGAAGTGAACAACAAAATACAAATATACCTACTTACGTTCAAGCTATATCTTTTAATTTTGAATAACAACAATAAGTATAATGAAAATAATAATAAAAAAAAAATCATATTTTGCCCATTACATTTCTAAAACTATCAAAAATTAAGTATTCTTGATTACATCAATAATATTTTGTAATACATTAATTCAAATATAATCAGAACCCTAATTTTCAATTTTTATTTTAATTAGAAAATATTTTTTTTGGTTTTACCTATATGGAATAGTCTCTAGGGGCATCAGAAGCAGTGGCGCCGAAAACATATGTCAAGTAGGATAAATATCCCAGAAATTGTTTAGGTGGTGGGTGGGTGGTTAGACTTAATGTGTGCTAGATATATTATTGTAATTATTGTACGGTAAAATGTTCCATAATATTATGTAATTACTAGATGTGTAGTAAGTACTCGTAGTTCACAGGTATAAAATACTTGGTATTTATGGTTTTATGGTGAGTAGGTACCCATAAGTAGGGTTTACCCCAGTAATATAAAAAAGGTTTGACGTCATTGATCAGAAGAGTAGTTATTCTTTGGTAATTTACCATAAGAATAATGAATAAATAGTTTGTGTTTACGGTGATTCACGGTTTATTATTTAAACTTATGTGATTA